CTTCCTTCCTTCCTTCCTTCCTTCCTTCCTTCCTTCCTCCCTCCCTCCCTCCCTCCCTCCCTCCCTCCCCTTCTTGTTTATTTTTGAGATTGACATTTAATTACATTTAACCCTTCCCTTTCCTCCCTCCAGACCCTCCATATGTGTCCCTCCCAACTCGCCTTCAAATTCATGGCCTCTTTTTTTTAATCAATTGTTAATTCATACACATATGTATATTATACATATATATTCCTAAATATAACTTGTTCAGTCAATATAATGTTACTTGTTTATGTGTTTTTAGGGCTGACTGGCACTGGACATCCAGATGGTGTACCATCCCTAGGGAGGGCCACCTCTCCTGCTCCCAGCTTTACTCTTTTGCCTATAGTTTTTTGTGCAGGGTTGAGACCTCACAGGCTTTTCCCCATCCAGTTTGTCATGTTTATTTGTGTCAGACTTGTTCAGCTCTCGCTTGGGCAGTCATGTTGATGTGACTTTACAGGTGTAGCTTCTGATGCTACTAGGAGACACAATCTAACAGCTCCCCAATCCTCTAGCTCTTATAGACTTCTGCCTCCTCTTTTTCAGTGAGCCCTAGATATGAGAGTACTTTGTAGATGTATCCATTGGGACTGGGCTCCATGACTGCATTTTGGTTGGCTGTGGTTTTCTGTAGTGGTTTCTGTGCAAAGAGAGGTTTCCTTGATGAGGGGTGAAGACTACATTTACCTGTGCATATAAGGACAGATGTTTACAGATTGTTGCTAGGTTTCCAGTACAAGAAGGCATGGTACCCTTCTTGTTGAGTGGAGCTTAAGTCCAATTGGAGAGCATGTATTATGACCAGGGTATTTGTGCTTTTCCTCACCTGTAGTGTTACTGTGCCATGCTGGTTGTGTTTTCTTAATCATAACTATTCTGGCTAGGGTGAGACAGAGTCCCAAAGTGATGGCTCAATAGCATTGGCTGCTCCTACAGAAGAGCCAGGTTTGATTACCAGCACCCCCATGTGAATTTGAACTGTCTGTAGAATCTGAACTCTCTCTGGTCTTCATGAGCTTCAGGCACGCATGTGGTGCACAGACATCCATGCAGACAAAAACATGTACTCACATAATGAAACTTTAAAATTAAATAGGAAATAAAATAAACAAGACAGACAAAACCCTAGAAATAATAGCGGAGGTTGTTGTTCTCTGGCCTCTACTTGCACATGTGAATGCACACACGCACGCACACACACACACGTACATGCACACAAGGAGTACAAAGATCCAACTCATCACGCCTCTGGGAGATGGCACGGGGCATAGAAGGAAGAGTGAAGGACATGAACACAGGAAATAAGATGGAGGGATGGAGTAGGAGGGACACGCCAGGGAGAGAGGGCGAGCTACGTCTGTTTCTTTATGCCGAACAGCTTGGGCTGTGTCAGGCCGCATGAATCACACTGGCAATTTTCAGAAGAAAATAAAGTTTTCTTACGATATACATCCCTGCCTCCTGAGGAGAATGTTCAGGGATTCATGGATCACACGGTCTTATTTTTGCTATGGCTCCATAAATCCACTGCTGAGGGACGCAGGAGGGATACGAATGGCCATTCATTGACAGGCTCATGAGCTGTTGGCGGAAGCCATCTCATTGATTGGGTGGTGATCCAAAGAATGAGGGCCTCTCAGGACTTCTTCTTGCATGCTCAGCCTGGGAGTCTTGCAGCTGCTCCATCTCAGCCCATTACCCTCCATCCTGAAGATGAGAGCCCACGGAGCTCATGCCTAGCTGCTCTGCACTCTCACTTCTTTGGTCCTGTTTGACTTCATTTTTAATTTTTATATTAATTTTGATTCAGGGTCTCCTGCCACTCAGGGTGGCCAGAGTTGACCTTGAATGTTCGACCTTCCCGCCTCTATCTCTCAAGCGCTAGGATTAGAGGTGTGCACCGCCACAGCTAGTTTGTGTAGTGCTGGGAATGGTACCCAGGGCTTTGGGCATGCTGGGCAAGCATTTTACCAACCGAGCCATGTCCCCAGTGCTGGTCTCTTAGTTTAACAGCCTCCAGTCCTTGCAGGCAAGAAGGAAAGACAGAGCACTCTCTGTATTGAGCCGTCTCTACCCATAAGCAGTGGAGTCTGGTTGTTCTCCAGTATGGAGTTCATTGATATCAACTTGATTGAATCTGGGATCAACTAAGAGACATCCTGCTTGGCAGATGCTTCCCCAGAGTGGGCTTCCCCTTCTACAGCAGCCCGGATATAGAGAATTCCAATGGGAAAGCATCACTGCTTGCCTTCCTTCACGCCTTGCTAGCAAGCACATCTGTGCCGGGCCACTGTGGCAGCAGCCACCCTTCACTGATGTCAGCTTCTTCAACCTTCTAATGTGGCTTTCTAGGAATCCCCCAGGCCTTCACCATTCAGACTACAGAGACATGGAGTCTCATGGTCTGAGCAGTTGCCATTTTCTAGGTAGGGAGACCCAGACATATAAGAGAGGAGAAAGCCAACAGAGAGCAAGTAAGCAAGCAAAGACCATGTATTTATTCTCTCACTGCTCTTGACTGCGGATGTGATGATGGGCTGTAACCCTTTCCTCCCCCGAGTTGCTTTTGGCCAGGGTGTTTTATCTCAGCAACAGAAAGGGAACTAGAGGTGATGCTAAATCTAAGACACTAGCATGAGGAATGGAAAACACTTCACACAAATAGCAAACAGCCCAGAAGCCATCCTGGAGTGTGCCAGGAGTAACTTGTACCAACACGGTCTCAGATCTCGTCTCCAAAACAATGTAAACAGGGAAGGGATCTGCACTAGTTATCTATGGCTGTGGTAAAGCATCATGACCAAGGCAACTCGGAAAACAAAGAGTTTACTTTAGGCTTATGGTTCCAGAGGGTTAGAATCCATGTTGGCAAATCAGAGGTAGCAGGCAGAGAGGTTGGAGCAGAGAGCTGAGAGAGCGCACATCTGGGACCACAAAACAGCAAGTGGAGAGAGCTGAAAATAGCCTTTGAAAGCTCAAAACTTACCCTCAGTGACATCCTGCTTCCAGGAAGGCCACTCCTCTTGAGCCTCCCCTAATAGCCACCAACTGGGGATCAAATGTTCACATGTTGGAGACTTATTCAAATCATCACAGAGTCTTAAGGGGGGGCAATTTTTTCTTTTTTTTTATTAAGCTCTAGATTTTTCTCTGTTCCCCTCCCTCTTCAACCCTCTCCCAAGGTCCCCATGCTCTCAATTTACTCAGGAGGTCTTCTCTTTTTGTATTTCCCATGTAGATTAGATCTATGTATGTCTCTCTTAGGTTCCTCGTTGTTGTCTAGATTCTCTGGGATTCTGATTTGTAGGCTGATTTTCTTTGCTTTATGTTTAAAAGCCACTTATGAGTGAGTACATGTGTGTGGGGGGGTCAATTTTAATCCATGCCCAAGACCTAATGGAGGATCCAGAGAAAGTAAAAACTAAGTTTCTCTTCTCCAAAAGATGGGGGACTCCTGGGTGGAATAGATTACCAATGAGGCTGGGGAAAGGAAGCCAAGAGAAGATGTGGAAGAATATAACGAAATGCTGTCCTCTGGAGATGGCCATGGCACTCATGAACTCACGGAAGCTGTGGCTCCCTGTACAAAGATCAAGGTGGGAAAGATCCCAGCATGGACTGGGGAGGAGCTCCCAAGTTCCCGCCCCTCCCTGAGGACCTACAGGCTTGCTGGGGGGAGGGGGGGACATTCTCTTTGGTAGTATAGACACTGGTAGGTTTCTTAAGCCCCTATAATAACCCCTCACCATGCACAAGGAACAGGACCAATTAAATTCAGCAGATCACAAAAAAGCTAAACAAACAAACAAGACATGAAAATAGGAGATGGATTTGTGGGGATGGGAAGAGGCAGGGATCAGTGGGATTGGGGATGAAATGAGAAAAGACAATGGGGCCAGTCAATAAAGGACATTATACATGTGTTCGGAATTATCGGACAACAGAACAATGGAAGTACTTGGTGACAGGCTCCTGGAACAGTGCACATTCATTGCCCCTGTCCATTCTGGATGTGACCCTAGGATGTAACCATCAACTCTGGTAACCATCACCATCTCCTTCCCCTCTTCCCAAGGAAGCCACCAGACTTGGTTCACCTGATACCAAAAATGCCCAGAGTCACATCACTGATGGTGACCTAGACAGAGACTCTCCTTTGAGAGACCACCAGGGCAAACCACAGGAGAAATGGAAGAAAAAAGAGTCCTCTAGTGAATTTTTAGCTTCTTGTTGCAAGACGGAAGAAGTTCTAGAGACAAGTGGTGGCCTTGCTTCAAAACATGAGGATGTACACTTAAACAAAGCAAGATGGTAACTTAACCAGAAGGGGACAAAAACTAATTCAAGGTGGATATGGTGGCACAAAACTGCAACCCCAGTACTTTGGAGGCAGAGGCAGGAGGATTGCTACAATTTCAAAGCCAGTCTGGGCTGCATAATAAATTCAAGTTCATTCAGGGCTACATAATGAGACCCTGTCTCAAAAAGCAGAAAAGGGGGTGGAGTCCATCTCTTTTCCCCAACCTCTTTGTCTTTCTATTTCTCTGTCTCTTCATCTTCCTCTTCTCCCTCCTTCCCTCCTCTTTCTATCTCCCTCTATGTCTTTTTCTCCAACTCCATCTTTCCATTTTCACCGTTCTTGCCATCTGTCTCTCAGTCTATCTTATTTCTTCTTTCCACCACCATTTCTCCATCTCTCTCTTTGCTTTTCTCACTCTCTCCTTTTAGTTTTCCCAGAACTCCATGCGAAACGCAGAAGAAAAACTCTCCCCCCAACCCTTTCTGTATTTACAGTGACGATGTGGGTGACAGCTCTTCCAGGCTTAAAAGACGTCTCCAGCACAACCGTGCTCCTGTCTCTCTTGATTTACTAATCAGAGCTCAAATGCTCCATGCTGCTTGGGTCAAGTACATCCCTCAGCCTGGCGGGCGCTCAAGTTACGCTTATCCCTCCTCATCAAGTCTTTCCTGTGTGTTAGAACAGTGTCATTTTTAGCAACAGCAGACTTTGCATAATGAGACGTGGGGTGGAATAGCACAGATTTGCGCTGTCCCTCGCTTGGCGCTCTCATTATTGGGGGGGGGGGAGTTAGGGGAGAATGCACACTTTGCAGGGTGGTTTAATTTCCTCTGGAGCTCCACGGCTCCTATCAGAGGAGCCACATACCTCATTAGCTAGGCCTCCTGACAAACTGCCTACTCTAGCACGCAAGCTCCCTGGGTCGGCCCTATCCATCTTGGTGATGCCCTTCTCAGCAACGGAAATTCAGTCCACTCCATCATATGAGTGCTTATCTTAGGGTCCAGGGACCCCCAGAGAAACTCCAGAAATTAAAGCATGAGGTTGTGGGGGTATGCAGTTAGTCTTAGCATCCTGGGGAGGGAATAGGTACCTTTAGATAGCTCAGTTCTGGAGAATGCTGGGAAGGGTTGAACCAGGGCCAAAAGAACACCTCTGTTGGTGTGCAACACCATGCTAAGATCACACAAAGCCCAGTGTCTTCCCTGCCAGCCTGGGTCCTACAAACATTTATTCTGGAATATTCCCCCAAGGTATTTTTATTCTTGGATGGCTCATTTCCTGGTTCCATGGATACCTAGGAAGTATTTTTCTCTGAGTCATAAAGAGCTGCTTTTCTAAAGACAGGACAAGCATCTTTAGCCCCCAAATCCAAGAGACCCAACTCACCTTAGCCATATTAAGGTACAGTGGGAGGTTCTGGTATAGGTAAGAAACTTCCACGCCTCTATGGGCAGAATTAATTCCTTCCTTCCTTCCTTCCTTCCTTCCTTCCTTCCTTCCTTCCTTCCTCCCTCCCTCCCTCCCTCCCTCCCTCTTTCTTTCTTTTCCTTCCTCCCCCCCTTTTCTTTCACTTTCTTCTTTCCTTCCGTCCAACCCTCTCCCTTCCTTCCTTCCTTCCTTCCTTCCTTCCTTCCTTCCTTCCTTCCTTCCTTCCTTTCTTTTAATGAAAGGGTGTGGATTTACCTTTATTCTGGGTTCTGACCATAGTTGACACTCCCTCTCTCTTATGAAAGAGAAAGGAGAACACACACAGGCATGCAGGGGGCATGGGGGAATAGCCACTAGACCCTCAGTTTAGTAGGTGATTCCACCTGGGTCTGATACAGCTGATTTTTATCGTACCAAAGTAAAAAAGAAAGACAAGAAAACCCCTAGAGTTTTATTAAGCAGTGATCCACGAATAGAATTTGCAAAAATAATTAAGAGTAAATTGATGCAGACAGTTTTAGGTCAGAGCTAAGAAAACCTCCACATACTCAAGGCAAGAGAGACGCCCCAACATTACTGGGAGGCAGCTAACCTGGTACCTTTTGAAACCCAGTGGAAGGAGAGGGGTTGGCCCCGCTGCTGCAGGAGGGCTGGAAGGACATTAAGAAATGATGCAATCTGGGAAGAATAAATAGCCTGCTTTAAGGCCCAGCCAGCCTCATACTTAGCCAGTCGGGCAGATTCATGCGCCTCAAAGAAAATGAAGATACAGCAAATTGCAAATGAAAAATAATTTTCAGCAATAGCTGGAGAGAAAACTGCCTTACATCATTTCAAAATGAAAATTCAAGAAGCATAATTAAGACCGGAGACATGGCTGAGCGGTTAACAGCACCCGAGTAAAGTAAAGCAATCACACCAAGTAAAGTTCCCAGCTCCTATATCAGGCAGCTCACAAACACCGCAACTTCAGTTCCAGGGATTGAATGCCTTCTTCTGCCCCTATGGGCACTGCCCTCACAGGCATGTACACACACACAGATAAATGTTTTTGAAAAAGAATTATTAGCTAAACAGACTAAACAAACAAATGAGCAAGCAGAAGATATAAGTTAAAAACAGCCTCACAGAAGCCGGTCGAACCTCCATGGTCATAAGATGTCCACTGTAAAACAAATATTATTTTGTCTCCAAGTAGAAATTATGTCATTTGCATCATTTCTGTATCGTTTTCTGTTCTCGCTCTGTGTCTTTCTGTGTGTGTCTGTTTGCACGCGCACATGCGTATGCATGTATGTATTGTGGTATACACATGTGTGTATGGAGATGCACACTCATGGGAGCCAGAGGGAAATGTTAGATGTCCTACTTTGTCACCCCCCCCCATCTTCCTGAGGCATGGTCTCTCACTGAACCTGGGGCTAGGCTCATGTCCAGCAAGCTCCAGAAATCCTCCTGTCTTCTCCCCATCCCCACATGGCACACACTAGAGTTAAAAGTTTGGTGTGCTCACACCCGGCATTTTAGGTGGATGCTGGGGATCTGAATTCAGGTGCTCACACTTGCACAGCAAAGGCTCTTACCAACTGAGCCATGTCCCAAGCCTCTGTTCTTAGGTTGTGATAATGAGCAATATATCACAGCAAAAATGACTGGGGCAGATGAATTGATGGATGATAAAGGCTCGATGCAAAATTACAGGGAATTGACATGCTTGACTGAGTTCTCAGATGTTCACATGGCATGACGTAAGTGTCATGAAGAGACACGCCCTGTCACCACCTATCAGCCTCTGTGACCACAGCTACAAGCAGAAGTCTGAGTAAACACCAACCTGACAGACAGCCCATGCTTGTCAGTGGAATTGTGGGAGAGGGGCTGAAGATGTGGCCCAGCAGTACAGAACATAGGCTGATTTTTCAGAGTTAGGTTGCAGCATCCAAGTTAGCTGGGAAGACTCAGCTCCTCATGTCTTGGGCTGGAAAGGGAGGTAGAGAAGCTGTAATAAACACACAGAGCAGGGTCCCTGCTGGCAAGACTAAATGTCATGTTTCAGCCCCAACAATTCCTGCCTTTTAAAAACTCTTTTTAGATCATTATTTAAGTGGTTGTGTATGTATGTGTATTCGCACATGTATGTGTTTCTATGCACATGTGTGTGCATGTATGTATGTGTATGCACATTCATGTGTGTATGTACATATAAATGTATGTATATGTGTGTGTACACACACGTGTGTGCTTGTATGTGTGTGCACACATGCATGTGGGGTGTGTGTGTGTGTGTGTGCGCGCACGCGCGTGTTTGTATATATCCACCACTCCAGCACTGGGATTATAAGCATGCACCCTCACAACTGGCTTTTTCTCGACTGGGCTCTGGGGGTGGAACACAGGTCCTATGATTGTAAACTGAGCTTTATCCTGTCCTGAGAATGGATGTTAAACATCCTCCCAAGGCCCATGGGCTGATCGCCAGACAAGAGATTGTGGCCAAGGCTGTGCACGCCAAGGCAACCCAGACACATAAGTGAGTCAAGACCCACAGCTAGGATAATAGGCTCAACCACCAAACCACCCCTAGTGGCTTAGATCTGTCAGGCAGGTACCATCTCCTGAAGTTTCCAGGACCTTCTAAAACAGCACCACACCAACTGGGGAGCAAACATTCAAAACAGAATCCAGAAGCCTATGAGACATTTCTGATTCAAACCACTGCATGAGGACCATCAATCAAAAATGGAAAGCTCTAAAACTTTTGAGATAAAATAAACCCCTTCTCTTTATAAGTCAATTTGCCTCGGGTATTTTCTTACAGTGACAGAAAATTGATTAATACACTATTCTAGTGGCCTGTGCCTGCAATGGGTTACAGAGCATTTAGCTTGGGGACGTCAAAGATTTAAAGAGGGGTCTGTAATTGTAGGAAAACTAAATCCGCTCCAGGGTACCTGTTATGCCTGGTTGAAGATGCCACATCAGATCATTGGGGAAGTATCTCCTCTTCCCAGGGAAGGTGACTTTATTTATTTCTAAATGGTTTTCATCCCACTGGCTAAAAAAAAAATCCCAGGAAACTGCACAAGCAGCTATGCCTCAAATCTGATCACAGATGGGAGAGGACTCCCTGTTCCTTCATTCTGAACCGATCAGAGGACAGGCATGTCTGCATCATCCACAGACATTAGCTTTGCCATGACATTTGAAAAGCTAGCATCTGTCATGGACCTACAAGGTGCTGAGGATGCAGAATTAACACCACCACCCTCTGTGTGTAGCTGGGTGCACCAGCACCCTGGATAATAGCACCTTGCCTCCCACCTTGTTTGAGACAATGTCGATCTCTCTCTCTCTCTCTCTCTCTCTCTCTCTCTAAAAAAATTTTTTTTTATATTTATGTCCATATGTGTGTATGTGAGTAAAGGCAGGCATGTGGGCATCCCTGGAGGACAGAAGAGGATCTTGCACCACTTGGAGTCGGGGTTACCAGTGTTAGTGTGCTTCCATACGTGGAAGTGGGTAAGCAAACACAGGTCCTCTGCAATAGCAAGAAGCGCTCTTGAATGCTGTGCTATCTCTTCAGGTAAGTGTCTCCTGCACACTGTCATATTTGGCAGATTAGCTGGACCACAAGCTTTGGGGGATTCTCCTGCCTCCATCTCCCTTCTCAGTTAGGAGATCTGGGGTCACAAGCAACGCACCACCCTGTCCAACTTTATGTGGGTTCTGGGAATTTGAACTCAGGTCTTCACCCTTGGGTCGCAAGTCCTTTGCTCAGTGAGCCATCTCTCTGGCTCCAGAACTTACTTTTTTTTTTTTTTTTACTGTCTCCTCCTGGAAAAGCTTAGAGTTCCATAAGAGAAAAGAAGCATGTAAGTCACGGTTATGACAACGAAAGATAAATGCCGCGCAAGAGGTTTGTTCAAGAGGCTCTGGGAGCTAATTTCTGTTTGGGAGAGATGGATGGGGACCCAGAAAAGTTTGACACAGGAGGTATAGCGGGACATGCCTGTAAACCCAGCACTGGGAATAGACAGGTAAATCCCAGGTGATTGGGGCAGGGGCGGGGCTCACTGGCCAGTCAGCCCAGCTTAACATGTAAGCCTCAGATTCACTGAAAAAAATATGGTCTCAGAAAATACAATGCAAAGCAATTAAAGACACTCCATGCTGATCTCTGGTCTCCACATGTGAAGCCTGGGTTTGAATCTCGGGTCTGCCACTTTTGACCTGCTGAGAAGTTATTTAACTATAGTGAGGGAAGATAAGCAAAGAAGTCAGAAAATGGAGGAAAACTCAAGCTGAGAAGGTAGATCAGAGCAACCCTTGTGACTCACGAAACAACAAACAAAAAAAATCTCAAATAGTGGCCCAACTCTTCACCAGCAGTTCCTTCAGCATTCAGAATGGAAGCCAGCTTTGACTCTTCCGGGAAACACATTTATAAAGATGTCCAGAGACTGGGGAAATGGCTCGGTCATAAAGAGGTTCCCTTGCAAGCATGAGGTTACGAGTTCGATCCCAGAGCCTATGTGAAAAGCCGGGTGTGGTTGTACCTACAGCCCCAGCAATGTGAAAATAAAGACAGCTCCCAAAGGCTCACTTGTCACCCAACCTAGCCTAACTCTAGGCCAGTGAGAAGGGGTTAAGCAGCTGAAAGGACTCACTCAGAAGACTGGAATTTAGTTCACAAGTGGATTCCCACTGCCTGTGAACTCCAGTTCTAGGGGACCCAGCGCCCTCTCCTGACCTCCCTGAGCTCCTGCATACATATTTCGTACTCACACGCAAACACACAAACATACACATAAAAAACAAAGAGCAACTGAGGCAAGATGCCTGATATAGACCTCTGGCCTCCTCTCCTACACATGAATACATGTGAATACACCAACAAACAATACATGCAACATGTACACACACACACACACACACACACAAACACACACACACACATACACACAATGGCAACCTTAGCTCCACCAGGAAAGTCATCCGATATGGCAGCCATCCTTGGCTACTGGTCTCTTTAATGTAACCAGGAAGTATTTGGAAAACATTTCTCTGCTCTACGTGCAAGGGCTTTGACTCATTGCCACTGTATTTGTCTACCTGTGCCTCGGTCAACTTGGGACGCACTCATGCTCCCAGAACACTAGTTCCTAAACAAATTAACATGTTAGACATTATCCTGGTTAGCTTTAATTGTCAACCTCACACAGTCTCGAATCTTCTGGGAAGAGAGTCTTAACTGAGGGACTGCCCAGATCAGATTGGCCTTTGGGAATACCTGTAGGGGATTGTCTTGATAATTGTCTTGATTATTAATTGATGTTGGAGGGCCCAGCCTACTGTGGGCAGCATCATTCCCTAGGCAAGCAGTCCTAGGGTATGTAAGAAAGTTACCTGCCCATGAGTCTGAGAGCCGCCCAGCAAGGAGGGTTCCTCTCTTGGTTTCTGCTTTGTGCTTCTCCATCAAGTGACGGCCCTGACTTCCCTCAGTGACGGATTGTGACATGGCAGTATGAACTGAATAACCTTTCCCCCCAAGTTGCTATTGGTCAGAATGTTTTATCATAGCAACAGGAAGAAAATTAAGATAGACAGGGAAGGAAAACTGGAAAACAACTAGTTCAGCATCCTATCTCTAGAGTTGGGAGAAACGGTCAACGTGTGGCCAACACTCATCCAATGACAACTGTGCTGCAGCCTTTAAGACCTAAGCTGTCCCTTTAATGGTCACAAACTGGCCATGAGCGTTAGTGAAAAAGACTGCGTGAAGCACTTCCTGTACAAATAAACATACATAGATGTTTTCCCGGGATGCCTTTCTAAGAGGAATGGTAGCGAATTCACCTCTTTGCCATAAAAGGAATCTGGAGTCTTGCTGGGTCCTGCAGCTGTGCCTGTCTGCGTGCTTCCTCAGGCCTGCACACATGGTCCAAGGGAACGACATGGGATCAGTGAATTTCTTTGTTAATCTCGATATTTGCAGGAAGCAAACGAACCACCGAGCTTTGCAAATCAGCAGCTTTAGTCTTTTGAATTCCTTAGGCTGGTGTTGAGGAGAGCTCTGTGTTCTGGGGAGATGTGTACGGAGCGGGCGTACATGTTCTAATGGCTGTCAAGTACATTGTCGGAGGGTGGGGAGGATGGAGCCATCAAATCGCTTGAGCATGCCCACATGCGCTCACGGGCATAATCTAAGTTTGTACACTGAAGCTCTCACCCAGAAGTGTGTAAGCACAAAAGCAATAACAATCTTCTGCCTGAGAAAAGTCTGAGTGTGTGTAAGTGTGTGCACGCGCTCATGTATGTGCGTGTTTGTGTGTGCATGTGCATGTGCGTGTGTGTGTGTGCACGTGGGCCAGAGGACAGAGGACAGTGTCAGGTGTCCCATTCAATCCCTCTCCATCTTTTCCCCTGAGACAGGGCCTCTCACTGAACCTGGAGACAGGCTGGCAGCCAGCAATCCCCAACATCTTCCTTTAAAAAAAAAAATGTGGATTCTCAGATACAAATTCAGGTCCTTAGCTTGACTAGCAGGCAGTGTTGCTCATAGAACCATCTGCTCTGCTCCTTGAGTCCGATTCTTGAAGGCATGAAACTTGATGCTAGCCATAGTTCAAGCCCATAAACAAATGCCCAAGTTACATTCCTACACTCCACTCGTTCTCTCTCTCCTCTGTCTTTCTCTTCCCTTTTCCCCTCTCCATTCTCTTATTCTTCCTCCCTGCCTCTCCTCTCTTTCCTTCTTGTCTCTCTGTCTCTGCATGTCTCTGTCTGGAAGCTCAGTGGGATCTTGGGCTCATAGTCATTTCATTCCACTGAGAGGTACAGTCAGACCCACAAGCTTCTGCAAACAGACCGGAAGCCCCTGCACTCGGGTAGCCTGTCTTACTCTCCCTCTCTTCAACCTCTTAGTGTGTCTACTGCACAGCAGCTTCATTGAATAAGGCTTCTTAATACAGAGGGATG